ACCATCTGATAAGTTGCCATTGGTAAGAGTAAATACAGATATGGCAAGTGCAATTTTCCAAGATGAATGCCAGCGACCAAAGGGGGAAGATAGCTTGGCCTCAAAAACGTCAACAGACTTTCCTGGTCAAGTGAAATAGGCCAAAGCACAGTTCACAGACACCACATGAATGTGTGACCGATCCCATGTCAGCAGGTGAGGTGTTGTGCTGTCCATTCCATCAGGTCCTGCTTCTGCTTCTCAGGAATGAACTAACTTGGTCCACAGCTCAACTCCTGCTTTCTCCAGATGGGCGCTGGTCTCCCAAACCTTCCCCTGACAAGCTGGAAAATGCAAATTAGATGCCTATGGGGGAGGAGCTGCTATTTTGCAGCTTCTGTAGAACCTTGAAACAGCTTATGCACAAAAGCTGATCCAGATTTCTGAACACAACAGGTGTCTGCTGGGGAAATTACCATCTGATAAGTTGCCATTGGTAAGAGTAAATACAGATATGGCAAGTGCAATTTTCCAAGATGAATGCCAGCGACCAAAGGGGGAAGATAGCTTGGCCTCAAAAACGTCAACAGACTTTCCTGGTCAAGTGAAATAGGCCAAAGCACAGTTCACAGACACCACATGAATGTGTGACCGATCCCATGTCAGCAGGTGAGGTGTTGTGCTGTCCATTCCATCAGGTCCTGCTTCTGCTTCTCAGGAATGAACTAACTTGGTCCACAGCTCAACTCCTGCTTTCTCCAGATGGGCGCTGGTCTCCCAAACCTTCCCCTGACAAGCTGGAAAATGCAAATTAGATGCCTATGGGGGAGGAGCTGCTATTTTGCAGCTTCTGTAGAACCTTGAAATCTTCCTTTGATTCTTCAGAAGAAATGAAATGGAGATTGTTTCCTTGAAAAACAGGATCCACTGCTTTGGAGACAGCCCTTCATTCCTAGGTTCCTTTAAAGCTGAGGACATCAGACACCTAATAGGGTTAATCACACAAACCAATGGCAAGTCTCAACCTGAAGGCAGTTCTGGGTCTTGTGCATCTGCATTAAGTGATGCAGAGCAATTCCTGCCTAGGCACTGTTTCCACACGGCTTTACGAGTCCCTCTAAAGCTACACCAGATCCCTGCATCCCTGCCCAAGTGTGGTATCATGTGCTCAGCAGCCACACTAGATATCTCGTGTTCTACTCCACATGTTCTGGGATTCTCCTCACTACACACTGGGGGATATCAACCAGCAAGCATCGACCCCAGCTCTCAGAGTTCCTTCTTTTTCTCATCCCTGTTTCTCTTACTGCAGCTATTGTAACTGCAATATAAAGGGAAACCAAGGAATTCTGGTGCAGTGCTGTAATTCAAAGAGTGTTTATCAGTAACACCCCTGAACAACAGCCTCTTCTGTGCAGGAGAACCTTGATGGGCCATGCAGCAGCTCACTGAGCCCAGTTAGCCAGCAGCCTTCGGGCTTCTGTCACAGGCAATGGTGCCCCTAAGGTCTGCAGGGCAGCAATGTGGTGACGTGATCACACAGACTGGGCTCTTCTTCACGGCAAAATCAATGCCAGCTCTTCGAAATCAACTGAGAAAGGAACTAACTAGGGTTATAGCAAAGGCACCTGGAACATCCACATTCTGTTTTCGTGACCACTGTTTGGGGAAGCTGCACAGGGAGCTAAGCTGGAAAGGATTCAGTGAGTGAGGAGCAGCCTATAGCCACGCAGGTACCACAATGAACGTGGAGAGGCAGCAAACACCACCAGATGCAGCAGCTGTCACAGAGGCCAGGCTTCCTGCACACTGCTGTACAGCTGAAGGACCACCACTTCCACTAATTAATTGGATTTGAAGATGGTGGTGGTCAACCTCATTCAGAGAGAATGCATAACATAGGCCCATCACCTTGGACCCACATCCATTACTTGTTGGGGCTCTCTCTTCTGCTCTTCAGTGCTGGGAATCCCTCCCTGCTCATGGTGGCACCAGTTTTCCAGAATCTCTTTCACACTGTCAAGTCAGAACAAACAGGTCTCCTGTGTAAATCCCTCCACTGATATCTCAACTACATCACCTAACAAAGATCTCACACAATTTCTTTTCTACATAGGCATCTAATGAAGACTCAGCAATCAGCACTGCTGTTTGTCAAAAATATGGAAGGAATTGCAAAGAAATACAAGCAACCTTGGTTTCATTGGTATTTCCAGTTCCACTTGCAAAGGTGAGCTACTACTGTGGCGTGTTACTACCCTGCTCTACCAGTTATTCCTGGAAATGATGCTCCACCCAAAGGAGCTGTTTCAGCTAAATGTTCTGGGTAACTTGTTGCTTTATTTCATGTTCCTGGTCCTTGTAGCCCTCCTCCTCCCTTGGCATTATAGCTGTGGCAACAAAAGCGTATAAAACAGGGCCAAGTGCACCCACACATGCACTACCCTGCTCATAGGAACAGATCTCCCTTTCTGTCACTGAAACTTGGGGCCCAAAAGCAGCTGCAATGGCACTGGGGATCACACAGGGATGCCACTGCTTCTCCTCCTTCCTGGCACTTCACTCTTCCTCCTGAGGCTCCCAGAAGCCAGGACAGCCACTCCCCAGAGCACAGAATTCTTAACATAAACAGGGACTCTTCATGTGCTATGGTGGTTTTACATGGAGAGCTGCACACGCAGTTTAATTTATCCCAGCAGTACCAGGCTGGGTATCTCAGTGCTTTGCAGCTGACCTCCACAAGCACAGTGTTCCCCTGTCTTGCTCTTTTAGATAGCTTGGAACTGCACAGCAAACTATTCCGGACCAAACCATTACTGGTTTTTGATGTGGATGCAGTTTGGAGTGTCAAAATAAAGAGGACATGGGGAAATGGGAAATCGCAAATACTGTTTACTAAAGGCATTCCGTTACTTTCACAAATGTGTACACTGAATTTAACAATGAAAGACACGGAAAAGAAGAAATGAAATGCATCCTTTTGTTGTTAAAGAGATAAAAATAACTTCTACTCTCTCACCTACCTTGCAGAGATTAGAAGATGGGATCCAAGTACTGGCAAGATAAGCAACTGGATCAAAACACCTTCCACCCACCTAATAACATTAATTTCCATTACAGCAACCTTTCAGCCAGATGACCTATTGAAGGGAGACATTTCCATCTACTTTTGTAAATGAAATTTGAACTCTGATTGCCCAGTTAAACTTCTCTCTCTGCACAGCAGGATTTTTCTCTTAAAGAAGGAGATCAGGAGACAATAGATCCTGGTGGGCTACGTGATGTTACACAGGCACCACACGTCAAGCCAGCCATTTAAGTGCCTGGCCTCAACCAGCAAAAACCATTTTCACTCAGGCTTAAATACAGATACAGCCAAGTGATCAAACAGGGGAAAAGGATAAAACTGTTTGCCACACAAACAGGCTGGCTTGTTCCATTTCCTAACTGCCAGATGAAATACTTGCCAAGGGTGGTTTACTTGCTAGTCTTCAGAACTGTATACACTGGGATGTTTCTTGTTGTTGTTAAAGATTTAGTGAAACTTTCACCGATACCAGTGAACCAACAACAACTTCCCTTTGGCAATGCACAGAGAAATGCTACTTGTAACTGCAGTGGCATAATCCAAGCTGAAGTTCCTCCCTCTTTTTTGGATCTTCCCTCCCCCCAGGTAAAATCTCGAGAACAACCCACAGCAGACATGATGAGACAGATACAGCGCATTGCTGAAACTCTGAATCACGGCCTTGCCACTGAATCTACACCTTTATTGCAGGCACAAGGTCCCGTGTTTGAAGGGAAACAAACAAGAAGGATGCAGCTTCACGTTTCTCAAAGTTACAGCTTTTGTACTCCCACACCTGCTAAAGCTAACCAAACACCTGGAATTGTTCTGTACTTTAGTTCAGCTCTGAAAACACAAAATGGAACCTTTTATTTGTGATACCACAAATCCAGGCAGGATAAGGAAAAAAAAAAAATTCAAGCTGTCCTCCAAAAGATTTCTGTTCCTGGACCTCTGTTGCATACATCCAGTTACACATTTCCAAACACATTCCAAGACAGTCGCTCAGCTACACTCATGCAGGTAATTTCACAGACTTTAACAGACAGGTAACATGCATGATGAATAAAAGCAGCAGGGAACTGAGTGAGTGATGTAATTAGAAATACACACAGCTGGCTAAAACCATTCTGAATATAATTAAGCTTTGAAACATTATGCCAGCCAAGATGTTAATAACTGTGAAAAAAAAAACCTGTGGGTGATTTTCATACTTATCAAAACAAGGAACTGTTGAGAACCATTAATAAGGTGGATAAATGCTGTCTAAGCTTCCCACACTCAACCCTGCCAATAAGTGCAACAATCCTGCTATTCCAGTCTGGAGCTCCTCCAGAGCAGAGATATTTAATCAAGTTACATTGTGAACTTGCTCTGCAACAAGTTACACATAAAAAGATCAATATGTAACAACAATTTTTATCTGTTAGGCTTGGCTGGACCAAGATGTTAAGCACTTTTAGATGAACCCACATTAAACTTTAGCATAAAGAGTATTTCTAAAGCCAAGCTAACATTTTCACAGACAAGTGTAGAGGAAGAGTGCAAAAGGAGGCTTTGAGAAGCTGTGGTTTAATAATAATTGTTATGAACAGCAGGAGACCCTATGCTTGAGAAAGAGCAGAAACTGCTTTCATTGATTACTTTTTGAACACTTCACAAACTCAAAGGATTAAGGGAACTGGACACAAGCACCTTTACACCACTGCCAGAAGAGCTCATCTGTATCTCTTAGGGGTTGCTGGTGCCTGTAATTAAAAGTAGCACTTTGTCTCCTAACAATTGCTTAAGAGCAGATAGATTTGTGCTCTTATTTAAGTAAATAAATGATAAAAAATTCCTGAAAACACAGTCTCATTTGAGACACTGCCTAGTCCAAAAATTTACCACGAGTGAATCCTACAAACTTGAGTATATTTATCCAACAGACTTGTATAAAGAGTGTTCCACTGACCTTCAAAGTCCACATCCCCAACTAATTTGGTTTTTCCTGTAAGAGGATCGTGGATATGGTTGATGCCCACGTCAATCACAGCTGCACCTTCTTTGACCATATCAGTTGTAATCAACTTTGGGATACCTGGAATCATAAACACATATTTCATTACCCTGGCCAGGTAATCTGAGTCTATCCCTTTTGAATAATATCAGGGGGTGTGCATGCAAAGCCATGCAGGCACAAAAGAGAATTCTACAACATTGAATACACCATGTCTTGCTCTTTACAGCAATTTGTGAGACCTCTGCGCTTGACCTGGGAGGCCCAGCCTGGGCACTGCACACCTTTTAGGCTTCATCTCTGTGGTGTCCCGGAGTAGGAGTTTTTTGCTATTAAGAAATTCCAGCTCAAAGAGCCACAAAAAGCCACCACAGCTTTTTCATATGCCCCATATTTCATCAGCACGTTTAAATGTGAAGCTTCTTGATATTCATCAACAATAAGTGCTTCAGTCAGAACCCAGAAAACCTAAAGAGTCACTTCAAAGTCTAGCTAATGAAATGTATCCATGGCCCTATGACTCTGGTCAGGAATTTCTTCCCTACCATGCAACCTCCAACTTTCAGTAGTGGGAATTTCCAAACTAGACATTACAACTCGCCTTGCTTCCTGAGCAATTCCATCAGTTTTTATTCTGAGAGGAATGTTACAGTACCTCCAAAAAGGGAGTCTGAACTCCCCTCTCCCCATCAAAGCAGCTTTCTCTCAGGTAGGGAGAAAGCAAAAAAGGAAAAGAAACCAAAATCATACGGGTTGAAAGTGCAGTTTTTTCGGAGGGAAGCGCTGGTGTACCAGGCTCTGGCTCCATGTGCAGTGCTGGAGCACTGACAGTCATTTGGATACAGGCAGTACTAGAACACTCCTTGCTCTCCATTCCTCACTCCCCCATAAGACACCCGCTCGAAACTCTGCTCCTCATGTTGGGCAAGCCAAGATCTCAAACCCTTTCCTAGCCCATTCAATAACATCTGACTGCATATCTTCTTCATCCCCCTCTGATGTAATCCATGGCAACCTGGCTGGTAATTGGAAAATGCCTCAGCCTTATGGGGGTAAATGATCTGTGTGTGATAGGGCTGGAAGCATATTAATGGAAGCTGCACAGTTGCACCCTTTGTAAAATGGTTTAATAATAAGCCAAATACTTAACAGCAAAAAATGAACTAACCCCCAAACCAAATGAGCCTGTCTAGTTGCTTAAGCCCACTTTAAATACCAAGCAGGAAGGGGTAAACATTAGGGTAGGTTTTCCTAAAATGCACTGAACTGAAGAATATGGGAAAACCTTCCACTGGCCATTTTTGTAGAAAATGATGAATCACACTTGAAACAAAGCAATAACAAGGCCCTACCTAATCTAAGTGCAAGGACTGTGAAACAGCCAAATTCTAAGAAAGCTAACCAGAACAAAGGGTCTGATGAACCAGCGCTTCCTACACAAGAAGGCCACAGATCATGTCCCGAGGGACAGCACAAGCAGTCCAAGCAGAAGTTCATCTGGCATTTGGCACAGTCACTACTTTTCCTCTTTACCCCCTCTCCAAAGGTAGCAGGCAGATGAGCCCTGATTCCCCCAGCAGACTGGAAAGCCCAGAGAGCAGGAGCAGCAAGCTGACGGGTTCCAGAGTCCTGCTGCTTCCATCAGAGCCTTGCCTGTCCTGAGCTGGCTCTAGGAGCACCGCTGGGTAAAGCTGCACTTACACTGCTGCCATGGCAAAAAGACCAGACTCCAGGGGATGCCTGTACAGGCAGGGATTACAGGCTGTGATGGGAAACTGCTGTGTGAGATACAAAGTGTCAGGTGTGCTTAACAGGAAACACAATGCCTTAGATAGAAATCCAAATACTGCTGTGCAGTATTGAAAGATTTTAGGGAAGGTTACGCTGGACAAGAGCAGCGTTCTTGGAACTTAAGATGCAAGGAGTCAGGAACAAGAAGGAAGGAATAAAGTGCATGGATAGCTACAGTCCCAATAACCAGGAAAATTGGTACCCCAAGCCTGGGGGCAAATGAGAGACAGCACAGAGATCAATCTTTTCACATTCAGGAGTAAGAGAAAAGAAGAACCTGATTTGAAGTTTTACCAAAACCCTGAACGCAAGTGAACAGGAAAGCACTCGGAGGTGGAGCACCAGATCAGAAGGCTCAGTGCATCAAGTCACCAACCAGGAGCCAGGATGCAGATGGCTCTTGTAAAAATACCACATAGGAAAAGGAACCTTGGTCTTCCATGCAAGCACACACAAAAAAAGCTCCCTTCCTTTTGCACATCTTCTGCAGTGGCCTGTCAAAGCAGCTGTTCCAACCTGGCAAGGTACAAGTTGCAAGAAAGGTAACACTCACTGCACAGATGACCCATTTCCAGAGAGTGTGTGATCCCAGAGGTAAAATGTGCACAGCTCTCATGTAACAAAAGGAAGCTTGGAGTGATTCCACCTTTTTAAAGTACCACTTTCCCCAGAGCACACACTGGGGCAGGGCTGTGTGCTGTTTGCACAACCTAGCCCTAGGTTTTTTCATCACTCCAAGTATATCTCAAGTTGTGTAATGAGTGTTGTATCACACTCCTGTTACAAATGAAACAAGGAAAATAATGTGAAAGGTAAACACGGATGAATGGCTACCAGATCATTTAACTCCAAGCATAAACAATGACAAACCATGTTCAGCACAAAAATCAGAAGTGATGATTAAATAGGAAGTAGTGAATTTGGATGAAAAGTTACTGGTTTATTTCCAGCTAGCACACTATTATTTTCTTTTACTCTCAGTGGTGAATTCTGGTCAGGCCCACAGCTGAACAATTACACGTGGGACAAATAAGTTTCTTGATCCTGGCCTGCCTTAGGAAAGAGGCAGTGAAGTTCAAGCCTGAAGGAAAGGGCATCTCACTTCAACAGGAAGTGACAAGCTTTAGACAGGTACCTGTCTGTCTTCATCTAGAAAATACATCAAGTCTTGGGTCCTGAGGATGAGAAAGAGGGGGAAAGGGAGCAGAAAAGAGGAAAGACACAACCCTTTTGTGGTCCTACAAAATGGTACAAGAGAAGGATGAGACCCCTGAGCCGTAAGGAACCCAGAATTTTACCAAGGTTATACTAAGTTGGGCTGTTTAATTTTTTTTAATTCATTTGTATTTCTCTATGTATTACCTGCAAACAAATAAACAACAGCTGCTTAGAAGCAGAGTTCAACTCATTTCTTTGGGACAGATGAGTTAAACATCAAGTATTTCAGTTTACATTGCTTTAAGAGTACAGACACTCATCTTTCGGTCCCCTTCCTCTAGGCAATTACCATTGTCTTTCTGTTGACACGACAATTGTAAAGGAGAAAAAAAACCCAGCCATTACTAACACAGGTTACCCAAACCTCCAGTTAATTTGGAAAGTTTGGCCTTAATTCTAACAGTGGGGAAATGATACCATGATTTTATGAATGCAGGCTCCAGCTGATTTAAAGAAACCCTCCTGTCAAAATTTAAATGACTCATGATTTTTCCACGGCACAGAGAATGTTTTAATTTACATAATTATACCTGTATAAACTATGCACTGACTGGTTCCCAATCTTGAGTTCACTCCGAAGTCTCCCTAAGGGAAAGGTGTCGCATGTGACGAGAAACAGTTTATGAGTCTGCAAATGTGAAGGGCAAGAACAAAGAGCCAAATCACTTGCCCTTCCTACAGTGAGGAATCCTACCCACTGCAACACCCTCAGCGAGCACTGATTATTCAGAGAAACGTGAAACGGCCAGCGCCACAGACAGAGACTGCAAAGTCCTCTTTTTGGGTTTGAAATGCTGCAATTGCAGCATTAACCACAAGCAGTATTACCTGCAGCAACTATTACTATGTCAGCCAGCTGCGTATGGATCTTGAGCTGCTCTTTTGGGGTGTATCTGTGAGTGATGGTCACTGTGGCATCACCTGAAACAGAAGAGAAAAACAATTAATTGTCAGATGTAGAATGCTATAAAAAGCACAGCATTTACCTTCAGGTGCAAATTACTTACTTTGGTACATTAACAACAGAACAGAGGATCAGATTTGTCTGGGGTGTGACTTTTAAATCAGCATAGGCAGAACACTCACAAGATTTGCTGCTCACACGTATGAAAAAACATTTCTTCTTATAACCTCTCCCAGGATGAATTCATTTATATACTGTGGACTCAACTCCCTTCCATGGGAAGGGAAGCCCTTCCATGGCTTTTGTTACATTCTGTGGAACTCCACAAAGCAAACCCAGCACAGAATCCAGCGTCTGCTTTATCAAGGCCACTTTGTAGAGGGTGCCACAAGACTCAGCTGTCTGCCACACACGAAAGCTTCGACACAAGACCACCAGCAGAAGCACAAGAAGCACACATCCTTCTGCTCCTGCAGAATAAACTCTCCTGCTAAGACATGAAAGACCCTTGTGCTGTTTGATACTGAGGAGAGACCACAGCATGAACAGGAGAGGGTCTGAAGTCTCCTACTGCACCCAACAGCAGGAGTGGTACTCCCTCGAAGACTGCCCAAGCAAGCAGCAAGAACAGCTCTCAAACAAGACTCTTTCCAACCCTCTCTGCAATTATTTGTACTGCACAGTGTTCAGGTGTTACATCCCCCCATCTCTGCCTTCCACTCATCACAGACACCTAGGCCATGTTACTTGCAATTAAACCAGAACCCTTTGCCTTCTCAGACATTACCATCACATCTGCTTCCTTTGCAACGTGTCTGACTGATCTAATCTGTGCCTCTCATCTTATTAACTCTCTCAGGCATCTCACCTTCAACCTTTCTGTGCTCTGGCTTCACTGCTCTTTCCCCTCATTTTTTATCCCTCTTTTTCAGTCTCTACAGTGCAAACAACCTCCCCAAAGACAAGCAGATCAAGACATTTAAAGATCATGAAAACAGAAAAGCACAGGCTTGGGAAAAATAGAGGAGTCTTCCGATACCTGCTTTAAACAAAACTGTGTCTTGCCCAAAATCACAGTCATTACTCAGCAAAAAGGTTGAGAAAAACCAATGGATAAAATCCAAAGGTAGAAGGTTATCTCAGAGGAAGAAAATTGGTGCTAATTTGCTTCTAAGATTTTAGTGATGAATGTGTCTGTAGTCAGCTCCTGAAAACAAGTAACTGCTTTCACTAACAAAAAGAAAAGGAGAAAAAGGGAGGGGAAAAAAAAAAAAGCCCCTACCTTGAGAACAGCAGTCCAGAGGCTTACAGACACCTCACAAAGGGGAGGTTTTCCATTTATTTGTGACCATGCCCAAACAGAAAATAAAAACTATTTTTACACTGCTACTTCTGCTGAAAGAAGAGGAATATATTTAATAATTAAGATTCCATATCATACTCCCAAGTCAATTCCATAGCTTACAAAACAGAGATAGTCTCTTGACCTGCCTACACATAACATTATTTATTTTGGAAGGGGTTCACATAGCTTTTCCATCTGATCAGATACTGCCACCTGCAGGACACGAGTGTATCCACATATGCAACATCACAAATTAAGACAGTCCCCAGCTTGGAATTTTTGTTCATAATCTAGAAAGAAAACCAACCAAAATGCACAACAAAAAAAGAAATTAAAAATAGTACCATTCACACCCACTCCTTGCATCATTTCTCAATTTAAAAAAAAAGAAAAAAAAGAGCCCAGTTACTGAAAAAACTCTTTCTTGACTGATAATCTCGGAAAGGTCTTTCTCAGCATTTCACTGTAGGTCTTCTCTGGTCCCTACCCTCCTGAGTTACAAAAAATAAAAAAAAGCTGAAACTATGGCCTGGCCTGCCTTCCTTTCCACATGCCATCCAAGCCAATCTCTTGCAAAAGCAGAAATTAAACCCAAGGGCAGAAGATGAAGCAGAGCTTCAAGGAGAGCCCCATCTGTGAGTCAGGGAGGAAAACTCCACCAGACCACCCCAAATACAGAAGTATTTATCATCATGTACATAGCACACACATACACTCTTAATGCCAGCTCATTATCAGGGAAGTACATGTTCCTTTGTTTTCTCATTGCTTTAGACTGTGTGCCAACACTCAGCAGACTGGAAAACTATAAAACTACCTGAGAAATAAACCCATTTCTTCAGATTAGGCAAAGAGCTTTAGTGAGTTAACTCTCTGTATCTAGGCTCCAGTGTCAGCAAGGGACTACCTGAACATTCTTCTGTCCCTACAACAAGGATGTGGCATAGCTAGAACCACTGGCAATGCCAGCAAGCAGGGTTCCAAGGGAAGTCTTCTGCCATGCCAGGAACCAAAACATGGGCAGGAGACCATGAAGCACCACAAAAATCTCACGGACTGGCCTCCCGAAAGAAGCTGCACTACCAGGCAGTCAAACAGGAACTAGAAACCCAGGATACCAGACAAAACTGAGCCATGGAGCTAATCTACTCAAAAGCTGGAAGCTGCAAACAGTATTTAATTACAGCTAAAAACTGCCCATGCAGCTGCTGAGGGTTTTGCAACAAGCTGCTGAAAGCATCACAGGTCGCTAGGTCTCCTCATTTCCAGGTGGGAAACGTGTAAGTAGTTTGTAACATGACCTTACAAAGTGTTCTACCAAGCCCACTTCAAACATCAGCTGCACTGCCAATAACAAATGTCACCCAATATTTGCAGCAAATGGCAAAAATGCCACTAATTTTCGTGGGAATGAAGGATGAGACCAGAACTATGCACCAATGGTAATTACAATCCAGGCACTGAGAGCATTCCAAATAGCAACTTTCCCACAGAGGCTGAATGGAAAAACCAACTCTATGATTAGGATAAAGCTTTTAGTGTTTTATTATAATAATAACAGATTTCACTGTGCTCCAATTAAATAGGCCTGGGATTAAATGTCCATGTTTACCTCATTTGTGCACACCACCACAGCAGTTTCTAACATCAAAATGGAGTCGCAAAAGGGCAGCATGCTATCTAAATTATATTTGTTTTAATTTCTACAGCACAATTACAGCAGCACATGTAGGCTTCTGCAATTAGAATTATTTAAAAATATTTCCACCACAGCACTCAATTTCCAGGGGGATATGAACTGCACTGCAGAAATACCCCCCAGGCCAACAAGCAACCATGGTACCCATGCTGAAGGGTTCCTTGCTTGGTCATTTGGGTATTTTCATAAGCAACACCTCACTGACACGGCAAAACACGGGGATCATGCCACACCTTTCTGTTTATTCACACACAAATGTGTTGGTGTGCACATGTACACGTATGTGCCTGCTCACGTATGTATGACCAATGAAACCAATATTGAGCAAGGATGAGGGTAAAGCACATAAAGAGCTACATGGTACAAACATCACAGGAGCCTCTGCAGCTCCTCAAGGCCTTACTGCCAGCACCACCCTCACGGATCAGTTGAAATCACAGCTGTTTCAAATGGAGGAGGAAGGGATGACTTAACACCAAAAAAAGTCAAGTCCAGAAATTGCTCTCCTGAGAAAAAGGCAGGAAATGCATCAGCAAATTTATTTCCTTGGTCTGGTTGCAACTATGCACAAGTGTGGAAAGCTTGCTCTTAAATCTGAGTCCTCTAGCCAGCTTTATTTTCAGGACTTCACAAATGGAAACACTGGACAACGTTCCTGGACTTACCTCCAGGCCTTTCATGCTCTCCATCAGTATGTAAAAGCATTGAAATAGGCATTCCAACATTTTTGGATCTTCCAGCTACAAGAACATTTTTTCCAAATGTCTGTATTCCTTGCAGGAAAAAAAACAAGAATTAAAAAAATTATATGCCACTATTTTGATATGTCTAAACCCTTCGTCTCAATCCCCATGACAGAATTATTTGTGGTTGTGGACTGCTGACATCAACACAACTTGAAAATCCACAAGGCTGAATTTGTGGGATGAATCCACAAAACAACTTTCAGCTTTCACCTCGGAGAAAGAAAACTGACAGCTCATTCAGGGCACCTGAATCACCCTTACCAAAAAGCCTTAATTTCCTTGCTCCAGCCACAAAGGGAAGCACTTATATCTACCAGTAAGAACATGTACATTGTAAATAAAAAATTACAACTATTGAAAACATATGCATTTTTTCCCTTCCAGTACTGAATTAAGTGCTCTCATTTTTTGTCCTTGTTTTTCCCCCCTTCTCCACAAGAACTTAGTCATTCAATCTTCTATTTGACAAACAGAAGAACAACAGCACAGAAGATTTCCTGCAAAACTATGAAATTCAGAAAGTTATTCAAGTGTTCCACCAAACAGTACGGTTTACACTGAAATAATAGTTGTGCTAATGGCACAAGAGCCCATCTACTTGGCAGCTCCTTATTCAGATTAATACTCTAAATGGTAGTTCTTCACTCAGCCCAATGCATTTAGAAGACCTTGAGTTTTCAGCTCACACCTGAGCTCACCCCTTGTTTGTCTCCCAGGACAAGAAGAGCTCCAGGACAGGCGAGCCTCCTACCTGTGCGTTTGATGATCTCCCAGACGGCAGCAGCGGTGGCAGGGATGATGGAAGGCTGATCGAGACACAGGCGCCCAATGTTCACGATATGGAATCCATCCACGTCCTTTTCAGGGGCGATGGCGTTGCACACTGTCCGTTCGTCTATGTGATCTAGGGGACACACAGCCCTCAGCCACAGCTCCTTCGCTCGTCAGGCGCCACCAATGCGTCATGGCACAGCCCAGAGCTGGCCAGGGTCATTAATTACTGCTCTCGATTCAACCAACTACACCTCCCCAAAGGCAGTTTTCACCTTTTCAAACAATTTACTGCAGATTAGGTTAAGGCATTTGTCACAGTGTTGATACAACCGATTCTGTCAAAATATGAGAGCCCAGTATGCAGCTGAGAATGAGGACAGTAACTATAAGAAGAAATATTTTAGGAAGTCACTTTTGCAATGTAGAATTCTTAAATATGAAGCGCCTCAAAAACCCCAACAAACGACAGGAGAACAGTTATATGCATTTTCCTGGTTTCTAAGCCCACAGAGGATACATGAGCTAATTTTTAAACAAATTCATGGAAAACTCAAGCTGAAGTAACTTTAAAGATCTAGCTTTCCTTTTCCAACAACACTGGTTTTTATAGCCAACTGTTAATCAGTAGGACCAAAACATATCCTGCTTCATTAGAAAACTGAGAATACACAAAACTGTTTGATACTGGTGAGCTCAAAACACTGAATATTGCTTAAATGGCATCGCCTGCACATACTTTTGTATTCACATGTACTCATACTGAATATTTTTCATATGCACTAATGACAGAGGACAGCTCTGCAACTGCTTAAAGCTGAAACATTAGCACTAATTAGGGAAAAATGTGTTTGCAGACCTCTCCGTGCAGAGTTACAAATCCAAGCATAAACGTGGAATACTTAACACCCCAGAGGAGCAGCTCCACAAAACATCCCATATTCACCCAAAAAGCAAACTGTGTTTACTGACTGGCCCACGGCCTCACCCAAAATGGCACTGACTGACCCACAGCCTGCAGTAACCCAGACCTGTTGAAAGGTTTTCTCCGGGAGAAAGGCAAGCTGACCCCCAGAGTGGGGAGATGGGGAGAGAGCCCCTGACCCTCTGTGGGTTCATGACCAGCTGGCCACTGAACCTGCCGGGAATTTGGTTGTTCTTCCCCAGCACCAACAAGAGTGAACCAAAGTGCCTTCCCCTAAACCTGACAAGTAGGCTGGGGGCTTCCAATTTCCATCTCAGAGCAATTGCTTTTTGCATCCCTTACTGGACCCACAATCTGAACAGAATCCTGCAACTGTGTGGCAAGATGTGTCAGTGTCTGAGCCAGAGAGCACTACAGAAGGTTTAAAAAAAACAAACAAAGGAAAATAAGCATCAATAGGGAAATTCAGATGTTGCCGGTAAAATATTTTCGAGACATAAACAGGATGTTTTAATTTAGTAGGTTTTTGTGGTTTTCCATTAAAAGCAGCTAGATAATTAAAAGATAAGCATACTGTAGAACTTAAACCATGATAATCACCTGTTAAAAGATTTCCAATTAGAAAACCCCTAGAGTTAAACCAGAATGCTATGATTTACAGTTTAATTCTCCATTTTATGATGAGAGCAAGTGTCCTTTTGAATCCTCATAAGAACAGACTGTGGAAATTAAGATATTAAGTACATTGATGAAAGAGTCTCTTAGAACTGAATCTTGCCTCACAGAGACTGAAAGCAGCCATAACCCTGTTTTTATGTCAACTTGGGAATTAAAAAAACAAAACAAAACCAAGAAAGAAACTTGGAGTAACCTATTAAACGGCTTTTGCAAAAGAGAACTTGTTACCCTTGGGCAAGTCAGTTGTTCTTCCAACACAAACTTGGCAGCCATGCTTTGCCTTGTGCCTGGGATGAGCAGAACACTGCTCTGAAAAACACCTCATCCACCCTGTCTTTAGCTTCCCAAAACCAGACAGATAATAGACACAATTATGTTAAAGGGAAAAAGAAAAAATGACGCTTTACATGGATATTTTCCATGTTGCAAACTGATTTGCAGAATTCCAGAACAGGGTTTACACCACTGGGAGGAAATGCTGCTGCACAGCTGGGGACAAGTGAGCTGTGAGCCAGAAAAGAAGCTCCCACATGCCTTCTTAATTTCCAGAGGAACAAAATAATTTCTTAATTATCCTACTGTCAGTCTCATAAAACATGAGCTGATACTCATACAAGTTTCCTTGCAGACATTACAAGCCACTCCCCAGGCCAAGCTCCTCTCTGCACTCCTCCTCTCCCTTTTTGGCTGAACTTGCAGGACTACACCGGGCATCACCAGCCAAGCATTTGCCCACAGAGGAACTGCTGCTTACACAGCGACTGCCTCTGGTGCTGGCACGTGAGAAATAGACTGGTTTTCAAAAGGGAAGAGTATTGAAAATAGTAACGTAGCACAAAAGGGATTTGAAAAAAAAATACTGCATGGATTTTCATCTTCTGTCACAAAAAGATCAACATTTCGTGGCCATCTCCCGGGCAATTCAAACCAAGAGCCAGGAAAACCTCCAGAAAACTATCACAAGTAATGCACTCAAAAGGTGGAGAGAAAAGAAGTTCTCCTGAGGCAAAGATAGCAATCCTCAAATTTAAGTTGCCCCAGCTCACAACAGTGCAACAGAACAAAGCTGTTTGTTTCTGACTCCATTTTTAACCCAATGTTGATCAAAAGCCACACTTGGTGTGCTTTACTGCAAAAAAGCCCCAAACCCTACCCCACAACCTCAATTCAGGAATAAGGAGCCTCCACAGATGGAGTTTTCACAACTTCTGGGTTTTGTCTCCTTCCTACAAGGCAAATAAAATTTGGAAAATCAGCTAACTTAGCTTTTGGCCCTTTAGTTGATTAGTTCCTTTGAGGAAAAAAATCAGTTATCTGAGTTATGTTGTTATTCCTTAACAATATAACTCATGGAAAGAGCTTACTGAATATTTCCAGTCCATGACAAGTTGCACATTTTACTTTACTATGCAGACACTGAAATATTGACAGAGTTCTGCTATGGATTAAACCGCTCTAAAGCTTTTCCTAACACAAGCAACAGCCATGCCTGTCTGATAGGTTGGAGGGAGGCTAATTAGTCTTCATGTATTGTGACAGGTGTGTCACACTTCTTGGGAACAATCTCCAACCAATTTTAGGACTAATCCTTATTTAAGGACTTCAGCATTTCAGTGCAGAAGCATCAAACAGCTCAAGTGACACAGCTAGAATTACCATCAAGCTTTTTTTTTCTTTTCTCATGCTGACCAGGTTTAAATCCACTACATTTCAAGACTGAAAGAAGTTCTGAACTGTGCACTGATGAAAGCAGACTTAAGTGACCTCATATGCTCCTCATAAATGCATTTCCATAAATGCGTTTCTCCAAGTGGTACCTGACCATTCCCCTGACACATGACACCTCCCATTTTTGGGGAACACTGGGAGTCCAGTGTACAAGCCTGCTCCCTTTACTACAGGCTTCAGACAGGATGATTGCCATCCCCAGGCTTCCAGTGCTCCATCTTCTGCAGTTCTCACTGCTGCAATTAAACTTCATTAATTACATCACCTGCTGCTGCAAATCTCCATCAGTGGGAGAGATGTTCCTCCAAAGGCAACCGTTCACATTCCATCGGCTCCTACCCTGAAGGCCGGGATGTGGCTCCTGACTTGTGTTATACTTCCACCTTGTGGCAATTTTATTTCAGTACACGGCCCATTTCAGGACAGCTTCATGCAACACCAGCTGCAAACCCTCCTCATCATGAGCACTGCTGTTCATTACAAACACAACCAAAGCATTTTCTCCTCCATAACTCTCAGCACCTGCCCCAGTTTTCCTGTCTAACAGATAAAAAATATTTTCAGTTCAGTTCTGAATTTCTCCGCAAGTTTTATCACTGCAAAAATGCCTCTTGGCCAGCTACTCCCTGGTGATATTTCAGTGAGTTTTTATTATAAACCAGGAGAAGATAAATAAAACACCCAAAAATTAAGTCAATGTTTTTAGGACCTCCGCACAAAGTTCACTTGGAACATTAAGGCCAACAATGAAAACATACATGCTGAATGCTTAAGGCAAAACCTGGAATCACTTCGAGAAAGGCTATAGCATCACCTGCTACATATCATAATGTTGCATGACATAGAGGATGAGAGCATGGAACTCAAGGCAAACCAGTGCAACAATCCCAAAAATTAAACTGGACAAATTATGTGAAATGCCTTGAAACACCACTGTGACTGATCATTTAAAAAGGCAAGTTACATATGAAATTATCCCCAGGATATGGTTTTTTCTTTAAAAGAAACTGCATATTCAACAACAACAAAAAACCACCTCGGCTAACCCTTCATTACACAGGTCCTCTTTCAAAAGTTTCTTATGGCCCTAAGGTAACCTTGCAGCTCAGAACCACTAAACTTTTCCCTCTCATATGGACTGTGTATGAGGAGTGGGACAAAGGTATCACACACCTGGGAGAGGTAGCTGAACTAATAATCCACTAACTCTGGAATCCCTGTTGAGTTTTACTGTCATATCCAAGAGCTCTTCCTGTGAAATGTCTTGAGGCCTCAGTATGATCTCACTAGAAATGCCTGATAAAAACAAAAGACAGAAGACAAGTCAGAATCAGGATACAGAGTGATCAGCTTAGTAATTTAGTGCAAAAATATGTGATCCTTAAGAACTGTTTCCAAACACTATATTAAGACGCAAAATGAAACTTAGAGCTCCCATTCAAAGCACATTAAAACTACTTTCTTCATACAGTCATGCAATTCCTTAGGTCCATCAGAAAAAACGTGGAAGAAATCGGTGCAGAATTTAATTCAGACACTAAGGGGATTCCTCCTGCTTTATTTTTTGCTTTTCAGGGCTCACCAAAGGAACACTTGCATGACATACCCACAGCTGCAGCTGCCTTTATCTTGTTCCTGACATAGATGTGACTGGCTGGGTTGTCTCCTACCAATACGACAGTGAGGTGAGGCCTCTGGTTCCCAGCCGATATCCACGATTCCACATCCCTCCGAACTTCCTTCAAAACCTGGTGTGCAAGTTTCGTCCCTGAGATAACGGTTGCTTCGTCACTATAAAGACAAAAAAGTACACAATATTTAGGGCTAAAATTTCACCAGGAAAAAGACTGGGCACTCCATGGCTCGTCACCTTCAACAATGTTCACCTGTGCTGCACAGCTGTGGCCCATTGGGGATGAGGCTGGGCTGCAGCCCCACTCCCAATTCCACAAACTGTGTCCCTACATCCACTCTCTTATCTGAAGAGCCTGGATGTGCCTTCCGTGCACTGGGAAGAGGAGCTCACCAGAGCAGCCACAACTCACCTTCCCAACACACACAGCCAGCCACGTAAACATACGTGAACTCTTTCATTTTGGAATAAAACATGAGAATGTTCTTACGCCCTTAGGTTTTACTGGTTTAAGGAAAGTCACCCACTTCCCTCCTCAAATTTCCTTTAAAATTGATTTGATGTAGCATTATTTACACTATTTTTTTGTCCAAGCCTCAGTGCTATATTTCTCATATTTCATAGCTGCTGGCTAGGGAGTCAATAAATAGCACTTCTCACACCTGTAAAATATAAAAATAGCAAATACTGAAATATGTTGATGCTCCTTTAGTTCAGAACCTAAATAAGTCCTTTGATTGATATACCACACAAGAACTGCATGAACAAATAAATCACCACGCGTACAGAAAACCTACACTGCAGCAGGCTGTTCAAGACACTGAAACTAAGACACAAATAATTATTACTGTAAATTCTACACACATTAAAACATTGATCGGGTGTTGGTCAATGACAGGTTTAATGACGGATTTGTGACAGATTTCATGACCAAGTTAAATGACAGACTTAAAATGTGTTACTACGCCATCCTGTCCCACTGTTATCCCACCCACCCAGGGATGCTCTTACTCTGAACCCAGCATGGATTTACCACAGAAAATTCTTCTTGTTTATGAATCCAGTGACTTGCAGGCCATGACACAAACTAAGATCTGCTCTACAATTTTAGATCAATCTGAGATCATATCCAGCATCACAACAGGACATGTCCCACACCCCATAAAAACCCCTGGAAAATTATTAGTGCAGGAACATCCACGTTCTGCAGAACTGGAAAAAACAGTTACTAGCAACACAGCACAGAAGCAGGATATGCACTGGTCCAGAAATACAACTGTTTCTCCCAAAACTGGCAGAATCAATTCTCAATACACAGACCATCCAAGGGGTCAGATGCTTATTTCAATGCTGTTCAGCTCACTCCTCTTTTCATTCTTGAAATCACAAAGATAGTGCTTTCATCATTGGCATTTGTGATCTGCTGAATCTCTTTAGTCGGCTTTCAGCCAGGTCTTAACACAATTACATGTAAATGAGAAGGTTCACAAGCAGGAGCTCTGAGAGACCCTCCCATGCACACCCAGGCAAGAGCTCAGAGCTGCAGTGCTGCAAAACCAACACCACAATCCCTCTGCACACAACACAATAAATTAAACGCAGGGGGTGATTGTTGTCAGGACACTGATCCCTACTGCACCAAAGCACGCCCTGTTTGCCACCAAATGATGAATATATACAGTAATTCGGTATAAATCCACTGACAGGCCCTTTAAGGTACCAGGAGCAAGCAAGCTCACAGATTCCCCTCTGGGAGGGGGCACGAAGGTCACACTGCAAGGTCTTCTTCAATTTCGAGGGCACCGCTTTAATCCCCGATGGATCACCAAAGCCAGGGCCACGGCCCGCTCGCCCCCCGCTCTCCCGCTGGTTATTCCCCGTTTCCCCGGGAAGAACCGCGGAACTCAGCGGGGATCGGAGGGCAATACACCCCAAAGGGCGACGGCGGGGGCCCGAGCCCGCTGATCCCTGGGGCCCGCCGCGCCGTGAGGGGTACGAGGAGGAGAATGACGAGGAAAAAGACCCGATCGGCGCAAGGTACCTGGCGGCGCTGCGAGGGAAGCTGCTGGCGCCGCGAACGAGGGCTCTCCACCGCCTCAGGGGAGCCCAGCCCGGGCGCAGCAGCAGCGCGGCAGAGGAGGAGGAGGACACGGAGGACAGGGACCAGGCTGCGCTGGCCGCCGCCATTTCGGCCGGCCCCCACGGACGGAAGCGCCGCCGCAACCAAGCGACGGGCAGGCGGGGCAGCCGCCGGCACCGGGATCGCCGCAGGAGCGGGAGGAGCTCGGGAGCGGGTGGAGCTGAGGGAAGGGCGGACCGGAGGGACGGGAGGTGCTGAGGCGCGACAGGGATTTGGAGCCTCGGGCTACGCGGCTCAAACGATGCCCCAGAGTCGGGCTTCGGCTGCAGCCTTTGGCTGCCCTTCCCGTCACAGCTTGGAGCGGGCAGACACAGAGCTCCACGGACAAGCATCGATGCCCTTCATAGTTATTCCCTGCAGCCTCGTGTTTTCTGAGGGGGAAGTCTCAGGGAATCGCTTGCAATCTGCGTATTGGTGACCTCTGTCACGTTCAATGGCAGATTTTATAGTGAAAAACCGCCCGTGCAGAATGGGAGGAGAAAACAAACAAAGATCTAAAATAGCACACAAAAAGCATGCCAAAATAACAGCACCCTCGCCAGCCTACTGACAGTGGGAAAATTCCTTTGTAAAGTTGGGAAAAGCTTTAGAAAGATGTGTCAGCTTAGTCAGGCTTCATGTTCTGCTATGGTCCTGGCAAGGTTTTTGACGAGTTAAATGTTTCCAAAAGCAATGTGGCTCAGGTGCTCCCACAGTGTGCATGCTGGGTTTTAACGGCTTGCCCTTTCTAAAATATTATTCTTATCAAATTCTACCCTAGATAAAAACTAGTGTGTTGTCCCATTGTCCACCCGTACCTCAGCATCTCCCGTCCGCCGCGCACCCGGTCCGGCTGCTTTTGTCTCGGCTCTTCCCCTCGTCGCTTGCTTGCGACGCCGCTTCCACCTGTGGGGCCCGACCGACATGGCTGCGGCCACCGCAGCGCTCTCCTCCTCCTGCTCCGCGCTGCTGCTCCCGGCCTGGGCGCCGCCGAGGGGCTGCCGAGCCTTCGCCTTCCTCCCGGCGCCCCGGGCCGGCTGCAGGGCGCTCGCAGAGCCGCCAGCTACGCGGCCACCAGCGGGGAGTTCTCCTCCTCGCTCCTTCCCCCTCAGCCCCCTCAGCCCCCTCGTCCCCCTCACGCTGAGGCGGGAAGCGCGCGGCGGGCAAAAAGGGCGGGAAGCGCCTGAGGGGACGGCCGGGAACATTTCGCCGGTGTTCGGTGAGGGACCGAGCGCGGCACACAGAGAGTAGTAACAGTGAAAATAGCAGAAGAAAAGTAATGATTTTAAAAAGTAGCTAGAGTAAAAACAGTGATAAACGTTTATAATGCCATTCACAAATGTTACTGGATGGTTTAGATCCAGTTTTCATGCATGTTTTCCAGGAGAAACAATCTGATTTATCTGAAATAGCAGCTTCCGTATTACAAAACAAGTGTTAGACAATAACCACTATTCCTACTAGTAGTGGTAACAATTCTTTCTGTATAGTGACAGTCTCCACATTCTGTCAGATATTTGCAGAAGTGCGTGCTATTTTGACTTTTTCACTGGTGTTCATCATTAGTCAAGAGAACAGGGATTTTCAGCCTTAGGAAGCTTCTCTTAAGCTTGATTGCCATATCTTAATTTGGTTTAACTTGTCTCTTGGGTTATTCTAAAAGAATCACTAAGAATAACAGATGTTGTCAAGAATTCTAGTGTGTAGTCTAACCACAAATTGTAAATTCTCTGTGATAAGGGGATCTTCCTGTGGATCTTAAAGCTTATTGTATTAAAGGGGAAATAAAAAAGTTAAAAAAATCAGCAATTTTTTAATTTTTTTTTTTTAACAGCAGAAAGTTTGTGTCTGAAATTCCGAAGTCCCTACCTTTCCCTTGCTGAACTTTTGTGTTTTCTAAAAGTAACCTTTGTGCCGCGCTCGGTCCCTCACCGAACACCGGCGAAATGTTCCCGGCCGTCCCCTCAGGCGCTTCCCGCCCTTTTTGCCCGCCGCGCGCTTCCCGCCGCAGCGTGAGGGGGACGAGGGGGCTGAGGGGGAAGGAGCGAGGAGGAGAACTCCCCGCTGGTGGCCGCGTAGCTGGCGGCTCTGCGAGCGCCCTGCAGCCGGCCCGGGGCGCCGGGAGGAAGGCGAAGGCTCGGCAGCTCCTCGGCGGCGCCCAGGCCGGGAGCAGCAGCGCGGAGCAGGAGGAGGAGAGCGCTGCGGTGGCCGCAGCCATGTCGGTCGGGCCCCACAGGTGGAAGCGGCGTCGCTTGGGGACAGATGGAGAGATCCAGGCGGGGCTGAGGGCGGGAGAAGCTCCTCCTTAAGGTAAATCTCCGCAGTCCGTAGGGGAGCTTTGAGAAAACCTGTATGCTATTTTTCGTGCCAAGCCGTTTCTGCAGAGGGCATAAGAACCCGCTTCGTGTTTCTGCGTAAACCCCTTTAAGCGTAGCGCCTTCGCTTGCAATGCATTCAGCCACATTAATCAAATAGTAGTGGTGAAAACCCCCAAACTCTATAATAATTGTTGCTGTCTTGGCGGGTGATACCTTCTGAGTGTACTCTTTCTGTATGGAAGAGGATAGTGAGCTCAGGTCCACGGAGAAATATGTTTGGCTGGATTTTTTCAGAAAAAAAACAGGTGTTCCTCTATTTTTGATGTTAAATGGAATATGTTTTTCAAGACATAAAGATCCCTTCTTAGACAGGTCTTTACAAACGACTGACGTGTTATTCAGATGGTGACAGTCATAATTTTTGAGGACCCTTGCAGAGTAAGCATGTTTATTTTCTCCATGAAAGGATTTGGTTCCATGATCTGCAGCTAAGGAAAACGAAGCAATTGCCTAGTCATTCCTCCAAATATCTGATAAACGTTTTCAGTTGATCAAGTCCATTACAAAATAGCACAAAATATGCTATTTACTCAAAGCTGGAACTTTACATGGAAATCAAACTCTCTTTTCAATTTCAGGGCGGAAACAAACAAACACCAACCAAACAAAAAACAAACAAAAAACCCCAAAAAATTTCAAGTGTTAAGTGTAGTTTTAAGTTGCAATGTAGGCTTACTGTGACTTTGTACATTTGACTTATCTACAGGCACTTAGGTGAATCTCTTAGGGTGCTGTGAAGATTAACTTGATTCATGCTTAATATCTTGAGAATTTCAAAGAACCAATGATAACAACTGCTGAGTCCCATGAGGACTTTAAAAACCTGGGAGGCTTTTGATGTGTCCTGTTTTACTAGCATTTTTTCTTGGGCAATGTACTTTCCTGCTGAAAACTGGGTGGGAGGCAAAAATCCAGAGTTGCACAAGATATTTCCATTGCTGTTTTAGTCGATTAACTTGCATCTGAAGAAAAACATATGACATAGAGCAGAAGGGAAGAACTGTAGAAGTTTTTACTGAGCCATGGTTTTCAAAAAGAACATTTTAAATAGGCATCTATTCTTGCTGGTAAATTACACTTTTCAGCTTTTGAAAGAATCTGGTTATTGTCAGTGTTTTAGTCACGGTCTTTGGTGTGTACTAAGCGGGGAAAATGAAAAATATCCCTTGGGATTTTGCAAATATCTGCTGCTCTGGTAAAGTGAAGGTGCGTGTAGCTCTCTCCGGGCTTTTCCTGAGACAGACATGGTGTAAGAGGGCAGTGTGGTCATTTCAGACAGACACCATTCCCAGGGGAAAAGCCATCATGTGTGCAGACACACCGGGGTTTGTTGAGGGGTGGCCGGGGCAGGCAGGACTTTCTCGAGGTTCTGAAGAGGGAGCAACAGTCTCAGTTCACCTTTAAACGGCAGGGAAAAAAGATCACCTTTTTTTTTTTACAAGGAAAAAATGTACAAGGAAACGGAAGGACATTTCATGCTCTCTACCCATGGGTGTGTAAAGGAGACAGATTTCCATATTGCCTTCATTTGTCTGTCCCGTGCTCTGGGGATGAGCCAGCTTTCCTCAGGTGTCACAGGAGAACGCTCATGACTCCCCTGTGTCAGCAAGGCCAGGATGTGGGTGCGCTTTCAGATAAGGTTTTGTTGGATTTCATTTCATTTCAGTAGACTTGTCTGTCACTAAGCAAGTGCTCTGTACCTAGTGACAGAAGAGATTGTTTATCCTAGAAATTTGCGCTGAGGAATGCAGACAAGGGGAATCTTGGCTTTCAGAAGTGCCAGAGATCCCTGTTACCGCTGGGGCCCGAACCATGTTTCTTCTGGAAACAAATTTACCGTTGCAAACTTTTACTGTTTCTTACCATAGCAAACACTGTTACTCCTTCCCGCTTAACTTGAAACGCAGCCCAATTCAAGGTGGGCTGAAGAATAGAAATTCCTGCAGGCTGCAGGGGCGTGCCTGGGTTTCTTACCACAGCAAACACTGTTACTCCTTCCCGCTTAACTTTAAACACAGCCCACTTCAAGGTGGGCTGAAGAATAGATAGAAATTCCTGCGGACTGCAGGGGTGTGCCTGGGTTCAATAGATCCATCCTGGGATTAATCTCTCTTCATATCAGCAGCTCAGATCAGCTTCACATCAGAGGCTTTGAGTAATGGGCCTCTGAATATAGAAACATGTTTGCGTGGCACGAAGTGCCCCCTGCACTTCAGAGAGAACTGATCTGCAGGTGTGTCCAGGAATCCCTGGGTGCACAGAGGTTGCTGCTTCCCTGCATCCCACTAGCCCAACGACACAGGTACACAGCCCCATTTAACATGGAATTCACAAAAACCCGGGATATTTTTCAACAGCAAAACATGTTTATTGCATTGTGTATTTCATTACATTACCATGAGAAATCCACCTCTTTACATACAATTTTCCAAAGCAGAATAATGAAAATTACTTATTCTCTATGAGTTATGACATTATGTCATACAAGAAGACATAAAATGTCTAAGTCTCTCCAGAACATTTACTGTTCCTTTAGAACTTGTGCATAAATACCAAATATTGCCATGTAAACTCATTTAAAAACAAACCAACTAACCAGCCTCAACGTTATCTGGTTAAAAATCAAACCAGTCATGGCACAAAAGCCCACAATTTCATAGAAATTATTACACCCTCCTAAGCATTGAATAGGGGCAAAAAGGCTTCAGGGGCAAAATTTGTGATTTCATTAGACAGCACATTGTGCAAAAAGGTCCAAGGCATCTGCGTTAAAGGCTGGAGGGTTGGAGTAGGAAAAGGAGATTCAGCAAAACATTCTTGCCTGAAGCAGGTTTTATTCCCACGTAATCCTGGACAGGCACTGAAATGTTAAGTGCCAACCAGCACTCTTGCTATTCCTGATGGAAGGATTACCCCCAATCATCGGCACAATCCATTCAAACCTCTCCTGTCACACGCTCTGCAGACATTTGCAAAATCATCTTCACGATGGGCCCAGCCTCTTTTCAGGTATTGGTGCTGTTTTATAGGAACTTATTGGCAGACAGTGTTTGGCAGGAAGGAGCTTGCACAAAGGTGGAGCAGGTTCTGAGAAGGTTGCTGAGAGGTGTCCAGCAAAGCTTCCACTGCCTTATCAAATGGATTCAATCACTTCATCTCAGTCAATAAAACCACACATAGGATTAGGCAGTAACAAATACGAGGAGAGGGAACGAAACATAGAACATCTGATCTACAAACCCATCAAAACTAGAGAGCTGAGCTATTGTGTCCTCATAGCATCTGTTTCCTGGCATCTTGTGACAAGCAGGTAACTTCATTCCCAGGTGTCGCTTTCCTCACTCAGAGCTTGTTGGGTGAACTGCAATAGGAAGAATTCAAATTGTAAAGCCAGACAGGAAATTTTTCCATAAGTTTTCTTGCATACACCAGATAACAAATCCCATAGGAGGTGTGGAAAAGATGCCTGATGGTGATGATGGAACGTACTGTGGCTAGATTTACAACTAATCAGGCATTTGCTGTGGATACTCTCCCCGACAACCTTCTGGGTCGTCTCTTCCCCAACAAAGAAGCCACTTTCTGGACACATTTTTGGTGTAACTGACCAGATTTCCCTACAGAAATCAGTAACAGAATGTGGCTCCTTACTCTTGCCTTTAAGCCCCTCCAAAAGGTAAGTTTGGCCCCGGGCGCTGGCGACAGCTGGCCCGGCAGGTACCTGCGGTGGATCCTGGTGACCAGGATCTTGACCCAAGGCGCGACGGGGTCCAGGCAGATCATCTGTCCCTGCTTCGTGGTGGCTCTGCGGGCGAGACAGGGAGGGGTGAGGCCGGGGCCGGTGAGGCCGGGACCGGGTTCGGTTCGGCGGGCCGGGGCCGGGGCCGGGCACTTACATGACCTCTGGCACGGCGCAGTGCGGCCCCTCGGCGAGGAACTCCAGGCGGGCCAGGCGCCGCGGCGGGATCACCTGGGACACGGTCCGCACGCAGCGGCAGCGCAGCTCGCCGGCCAGCGGCGCACCTGGCAGCGGGAGGAGCCCTCTGAGCCTCTGCTCCGCGGTCCCCCGAAACCCCCCGACCCCCGGACGGGCCCGGCCCCCCGCGCACCCCTGCAGAGGCTCGGCCGCGGACGGATGGGTAGCCTCTGCTCGGCCGCTTACCCTGGCATAGAGCGGCTGCGGCCAGGAGGAGGAGGAAGAGGCGAAGGTGCGGATTCATGGCTGATGCTGGCGGCAGAGAGGGTGCAGGAGCCGACGAGGCGGCCCCCTTACTCTCCCGTGCTTTTATTCCCGGCCGGCAGCTGCCGGGGAATTTCCCGAAGTGGAGCCGGGGGGCAGTGACGATTGGCCCCTTTCCACCTGTGGGTGTGTGCAGCTAAAGGAGCAAGGCGGAGAGAGAAGAGCGGCCGCTCCCGGCACAGCGGCTCCTTCAGGTTTGGGAGCGAGGGAAGCGTCGCACTGCACCGTCCCGAGAGCCGCCCAGCGTCTGCTGGGACCCCATTCTCCGAAAGGAGCGGCGGCTTTTTGCGGGGGTTCTCCATTAGCTTTCAGGGTGCAGGCTGCTGAGCCAAAGGGGAATTTGGGTTCTGGAGTTTGCCTTGCTGCCGAACCCTGTGCAACCACACACTCTTATTCGGTGGGCATTGCTGCCCCGTGCACCCCTTATTCACCTAGCTTTTGAAAACCAGAAATCGTTTTTTTCCTGCGACTAGGAAGCCCTCAGGTTTCCATACCTACACTCCACTGCAGAAAGCCTTCTGTTCCACTCCTCTGCACACATAGGTCACTCTTTTTCTTCATTCCTGTCAAGGCATTTTGCTAAGTTCAGTTATAAAGAAGGAAAATAGCAGTTTTCTATGAGTTTTTAATGAAAATGAGATGCAGGTTTTCTAAATTTTATTTACGCATGGGTTTGGATCAGTTATGGTCAGCACACTTTCTTTTGTAATAAGTTTTAGTACAAAATATAATATTGCACTTTATTGGTCTTGGTTTTTTGTTGGTTTGGGTTTTTGTTTTGTTTTGGTTTTTTTTTTTTTTTTGTAGCCAATCTGCTTTCTTCCACAGACTTTTGTGAACATGAGTGGGGTTCAGCAAATCAATTTGTTCCAGGGTCACGCTGCCGTGTGTCTTGCCCCATCCTACCTGAATGCCTTAGATTAGATGTACTGTCTGAGAACAAAACCGAGTCAGGAGCCAAAACAGATAAGATACAGCATGTAAAGCAGTCCTAAAAAGGGATTAAGGAGATTAAGGACTCTCATTCCTGGGCTCCATCATCTACAGCTCAGCTGTTTCATACAGCTGCTGGCTTAGTCCCTCAGGAGATCAGCCCTGCAGGAAGATTGTATGTCACAAGCAAATGGTGATTGCCCCATGTTATCAGGGAATATCTAATGCCTAATTTGGACCCTTTTCCAGATACACTTGGTAACAACATCCTTGGAAGCATCTGGCTTTTAGCTTGGCCTTAAAAGGAAGCTACATGGTCAGCTTAGGGGCAGCCACTAAATAGAAACCTTCACTGAGATCCCTTGAGATCATGGAGGTGGAATCACCATTCTCTCCAGGTTATAGCCACACAAGCTTTGGACTGTGAATTCCCCATATGGTTGTCCTAAGGAAGTGCCATGTTCTTTGCAGGAAGAAGGGTTTGCCCAGCTGCAGCAAACTGAGGCAAGAAGCAGGAAGGATGGTGCATAATCTGCTTCGGGACATCGCAATTATGGTTGGCAGATCCAGCTCGGAGTGGATGTGCAGGGCAGATCACTCATTGTCACTCGTGCGCAGTCTGATTACACATTGCTGCTCTTGGACAGTACGCATGAGTAAGGACAGCTTACGTGACAGCACTTGGCTTTATGCTTACATGACTGCTCACAAGAACTGACCCATCAGACTCATTCCACAGTGGTTACTGCTGAGGAAATTCCAGATGTCTCCTGGGGTCTGGAGTGTGAGGCTGTTTTTAGACATGGAGCAGCAATGTGTGAAACTGCAGCCAGCTCTCCCTCAGAGCCGTGTGCCAAGAGGAGCAGCAGTCAGGTCATGGACATGCTGCGGTGCAGCAGATGGTGCACAGCCTGGTCCTCTGAGTCAGGGCTTGCACAAACAGGCCTGGAACAAGGGAAATGGGTGTCTTTGGGACTATTGCAACACGCATCTGCCTGAGCAAGGCATTGTACCTGCAGACTTCAGATTGCTTCTAGCTGCCTTCTGTGGGAATGTGGGCAAGGTCTCTTCAGTCCAGATGACAGCAGCAGCAAGGCTGAGTTGTGGAGGAACTCTCTTCAATTGTACCCCTTGCCCTGTCTCCCTTCACCACCTTTGGCAAAATTCCTTTATCAAGTACAGAAAAGATAGGGAGCAGAGAGCATCTCTTTAGAAAGCTGAGTTTTTCCCTGCCTGCTGCCTTACCTCTTTCATTATACATAATTTTGCCATGCACTGAGTGCAGGTGGAACAGATAGAATCATGAAATGGCTTGGATTGGAAGGGGACCTCGAAGGTCATCTTGAATTAAGTTTAAATTAGTTACAGTGAGTGGTGGTGTCAGTGTAGCTGGGAAAGAACTCACCACAAGGTTTGTATTTGCCTCACTGAAGGTCCCATTCAAGTCACCCAGCTCTTTAGCAGAAGCTGCTGTGTGAAGACAGGCCAGGATTCTGTGATTCCCTGAAATCTCTGTGTCCTTAGCCTGGGTCTTGGGGTTACTGGGACACAGAAAGCAGTCCCAGCTCAGGCAGGCCCTGAGCAAGTACATAAAGGGAATAAACCTCATGGCTCAATTGCCTTCCCATTATCCAGTCCTTAATTCATTACATGCAGGAAGTGATTTGGCTGCTTTGTTTCAGACTTTGGCTGTGTGCCTTTCCACAGCAGGTATTTATTTGGCTTGGCACCTGTAGTGGGAGCCATTCACTGGCAGCAGGCCCAGGAGAGCTACAAGACAATTAAACAAGAGATGTCTCACTTCAACAAGTGAGGACTTCTCCTAAGTGCACGAGAATTACTTTGGAGGACGTGTCCCTGATACAAGTGTAAAGGTGAACTTTCATCATGGCCTTGAAACCACTAAATATGGCCAACTTTGAAGGAGCAGTCTTATTTCCTCTAGGGTTTTGATTAGGAGTGATTTATGTTCTGATCTGTAAAATGTCAGGTCACTGCTACCTAGTACTGAGTAAAGTCAGAGGGTATGGACTGCTGATATCCTCTCATCTTCATCATGTTACCTTTCCTACCCATATCAGTATGCTTCATAGTATTCCTTGGCTATGATGAGGCGCTGCTCCCTAGCACCTATGATTCCTCCTGTGGATCCAGCTCTGTCATGAAGTACAAACGTATTTGCTGGAGGCAGAAACCAAATTTCAGGCTGTGAATTTGCACAGTTTTGTGCAAAGTAAGTTTTATATCTATCAGGTGGTTTATTTCCTTCAATTTCCCTGTGTGTTTCTCAAGGTTTGACATGTTTCCACTCCATATGCCCTTGAAGATAATACCAGAATACGTAAGAGATTGAAGTGTCCTGTTGTTCAGCTTGTGTCATGGAGAATCCCAACTCTGTTTTGCCAGCTGCATCATGGCACACGTCACACGTTGTTTTGTGCTCATTTCTGTAGTACCTTTTGAGATGTGAAAATTCACATTTAAAATAATGATCTGTAGCAAATGATGCTCAGTATCTTCCCACCCACCTTCCTGCATCTTCACCTAACTTTAACATTCAGGAGCCCTCAGGAGCCCTTAGGTTTTTTTGTTTCCCTTCCCCAGAGGTAGAGGTCCTTCACCCGTGCCCACTGCTGGGAATTGGAGCGTGAACACACACACACACTGTGGATATCTGAAAGGAATGTGTTTGCATTACTCAGGCTTTACCTTGGCAAATAGAACCTGTTGGCTCTGAAGTCTGTGTGTTTGGCCATCGCTTCTCTGTTTTTCAGTTTCAGGTGCCGGCTGACCTTTTCTGAGATCTTTGATGGGACTGCAGAGACTGTGGTTTCACTGTCACCTTACTGAGTGGGACTCCTGGACACAACAATTCCCAAAAAGTGAGTGGCTGGTGGTGGACTCACTGGTTCCGGTATTTTACACCTAACATATAAGAATAGGAGAGGCTTTATTTTGAGTTTGGAGTCCAACTGTTTAAGCAATTTGTTCTTACCTCTGCTGAGGAGAAAGAATCTCCTGGCTTTTTAGTGGCAGGCATGATCCTGGACAAAGGTTACAACTGTGTGACTCCTTCCACCCCCACATAGTTGTTTGGTTGATAAGCCTTTGAGGTCATCACAGCTTCTGAAAAGCAGAAAGAGCTCCTCTTGGCTTCACCAGCAGCAGAAAATGCTCTTCATCCTGCAGATTGCCTTCAGGCTTTTGTCCTTGGATGTGTGCGAACTTCATAACAAAGATTCCAGTCATCTTGGAAATGAGCTGTTTGGAAATAAATGCATACAAATTTGTTCCATCTGCAGATAGCTGGAAATAAGGAAAACATGAGTCTCTTAAAAAAGGAACTATTCACCCCAAAAAAACCCCAATCCAAGGCCCCAAAATCAACATTCCCCCCAACATGGCTTAAGGCAATTTTCAGACTCAGTGGAACTGAGTAATTTTTGGGAGTGTGCTTTGAATAGTTGTGGTCTTTTGGTTAAAGTGATGGCATCACTTGGGAAAACAGTGACACGAGACATCTGACCGCAAGAAAATGGGAATACTCATTGGAATCATCACAAAATCTTTGAAGTCTTATCTCATGGTACTGAGACTTCAATCCTGTCTGTTACTTCCATTGCTTGTTTTGCAATGAAGGAAAAATGAAGAAGTCATACTTGACTTACACCCTAGGAGACAGCGAAGCTGCCATCTCAGGGAACGCTTTCTTACAGCCCTTTGGGTGCCACGTGCAGGTTCAGTCTCCAGTGTACTGGGACTCTGTAGTAAAATGAATTGGATTGCTCCTGGCAACAACAAATGGCTGCTGTTTGTTGGAAGGGAGGAAAAATAATACCGATGAATTTGCTTACTTGTTACTGAATTACCCAAAACAGCCTACAAAGCAGCAAGAGGGACATGTGTCCTTTCAGCTTGTTATAGGGAGGTGTTTAGAGAAGGAGGTGTTTGGAGAAAACACACTGATAACATTTTTGGTAAATGTGATCGCCACTGAGTTTACTATCAATGGTTTTCTTCCCCATTATCTTGTATTTCTTTCGTTTT